AGATTTTGAGAATTAATCAGAAAAAAATATATTTGACACCTGTTCCCAAAAGCTTGAGCTTTGAATTAACATTTTTTCTTTTCAAAACTAAAAGAACTTTCTTGTTGTAGGAAAGACAAAACAATCCAGTAAATGTAGAGTAAAATGGTAGTTTTATGCCCAATATTTTTCAAAATTTGTTTTTCATATGTGAAAGTATTGGCCAATTTTATTCAACAAATGTTAACCCTTTGAAAACCCTGGCTTGGATATCTTTACTTAGGTGAGTAGCATTTTAGCACCTTCACCAACTGCCCTACTTAGGGAAATAACACCTAATTGGGGTTAAAACTTTTATAATAAAGCAGAACGTTTGAAAATATATTAATACATAAAGGATCTGATACTTGCTTCCACCCATACAAGAGTTTCAACGACTGTTTAGCACCTACTCCTTTTGTTATGACCACTACAGCCTCCTGTGTCTTTACTAACAGCCTGACTGTCCATGCTTGTCATCAATCTCAGGTGTTCATCAATCTCAGGTGTTTCTGTCTGAAATCTCCAGAGTCCATGGGTGAAGGTTTCTGGTCCCACAGGGCCTGACATCCTCCCCAAGAGGCACGAGGCACCTCAGTGTTTCATACCCTCCATTTCTGCAGCTGGCAGGGTTTTCTCAACTATTTTCAAAACCACCACATAGCACAAAAACAAAACAGCAAATTCAACCACAGTAACTGCAGTTGTGGTTTTTTTTTTCCCCTGAAGGGTCACCCCAGCTCTTACATCCTTTCTCCAGTGCTCTCATCCCCCAATACTATGCACAGACCCCCTTTGTCTCCCCCTTTCCACCCCTGCCTTCCCTGCTTGGCTCCTGAGTAGTCCTGGCCCTGCACTTCAAGGAAGTTCAGAACTTAACTGAGAATTGCTAAGAAGGGATTTTCTCTTAAAATCCACACTTCTAAAACTAAATTCACTATCACACTAGAGTTTTTCTTTCCCAGTTTGAGGTAGAAAGTCATATAAGTGTATGAACATGAACTGCTAGTCGGTCTGAAGTCTGTTTTATTTACTTTTATATACACAGCCTCTGTGGCTATTCTAAATTATTCCTCTGTTTTTTCACTATTTAATGTCTTTTTGAACCATTAATTTTTACTATATCCCCCAGCTATTAAACCATAACAACCTAAAATCACTGTGTCAATAGGACTGTTTGTAGCTTTACTTGCTTGTGAATCAACATATGGCAATCTGGCTCTCGGGCATCTGACTCTACCTTCTTCAATACCTAATCGGTAACCCCTTGAGCCCACTGATAATTCTTATTTAAACTATCGACAGGTTGACTGTCTCTCAGTAACCCTCTGAGCTGAACACAGTCCCCCAGTGCAGCCACATCAGGGTTACACAGAGGGACTGTTCCCTGGTTTATGGCATCTCTGCAAGTAAATTTCTATTGCTTTGACTTTCTGCTATGTATTGCTTTTCCAAAACCATGTCTGCCTTGCTCTGTGCTGTAATCTGTTTTGGTTTTTTTCACAATCATTTATTCCCAAAGTTGTCTCCTTTCTGGGAGTAGGCATATCCAATTATTTTCCCCAGACACAGTTGCATTTTTTCCAAGCTGAATCTTCTTTCAAATATTTCGGAGTGTTCAGAATCTCGCTGTGGTTTGTTATTTCTCTGGGCTCCAGAATCTGTGAACCATCATTCAGTTCCCCCAGCTAACATCCCTGACATGTCCGTTATTCCCCTTTAAAGAGGATTAATTGGATGACACCAGGGAGGATATAAATATCAGCATATCCCAACACTGTTCTCAGAAAAGCTGCTGATGCCCTGTTTGTTTCTGAGATGTACTTCAGACTGACTTCTTAGATCTTCCATAGAGTTACCCATTCGAGATGACCAACGTAATGCATTGGTCACTTTACCATCCACGTTACCCGCTGGGGCACTAATGCCACATGGCACTTTGTTATTGCGTACTCCAACGCACAGGCAAGACCAGCTGCTGGTGCCCTTTGGCAATATTGCTTTATTTTCCTGCCCAGGAAGGAAGCAGCGTGCACTCAATCACACCTTTCATTGCACATATTTCTTTGCCCTCTCTTCGCGTGGTCTGTGCTTCAGCAATGCCATGTCTGAATGCTCCACTGCAGCATCCTGGCAGACAGAAGTTGTCCAAGACTGGGAGAAGCTGCAGAAAAAAACATCCTTTGCCATATCTTATTTAGGCGCTAGAGGGACCTGCTCCTCCTACGGTGGTCTGGACCACTTGTAGTGTGTTCCTGAGCTCTTCCTGTGGTCAACAGGAAGATCTGGCCAACCTCCAGAGCAATGATCAGCTCTGTGGAGGGCTTACTGGGCAAGGCCACGACAACCAAGAGAAGTGATTGCAGTTTTCTCCCTGCCAGACCAGGTACCAACACCATATAAGCCCTCCACAATGAGGGCTACATTGCCTACAGAAGCAATGAGTACCAAGGACCCAAAGGCTCCAAGGCAGAGCTTCTGCAGCCTGTGCTGAAGCCCACCGTGCTAAGGCGTCTCTGCCAGCAGCACCCATAGCTTAGATATGGTGACATACTCTGTCAAAGGCTATTATAAGCCTGCATGTGTAGAAATGAGGAGTCAGGTTCTGACTTCCCACTCAAGGTCTCACTTATGTGTGTAAGTACAAAGGCTCAATAAAGCCTTTGCATTTAGACTTTATTCACTGGGAGCACTCAACCATCGGCGTAAGTGCATCATAAAATAGACAAAGAGCTGTAATTTGTACCAATGGAGCTTAGCATTTCCTGGGGTTGTTGAAGCAGATTTCCATCATGGGCAATGCTTTAAGATGAGCAATAGGAGGCTGATAGGGTCTTTTCTACTGAATTTCCCACCTTCGACCTCTCCTTCTTGTTGCCTGTAAGAACTCCAGCCCACATTTGCAAAGCAGTATCTAGGCCACTAAATAAAAACAGCCTGAATTGGAAAGGCGTGGTGTGCTTGCAGCACCCATTCAAATATCTAAAAATTAAGCCAGTTTACCAAGGCAGTTGTGAATCTTAGCCACTGATTTCAGTCAGGTGGGTTTCCAATCCAATGCTCCCAGCGTCTCTGCTGCATCCCTTGGAAGAATTTCACGTTTCCACACTTCTGCAGGACCTCAGGCTCCCGACCTGAATCACTGCCTCTGTGACCTAACACAAGCCCTCCAAAGCCCTCAAAGGTGCGCTCCTTCTTTGTATGTCCTGTTCATCCACGCAGAAGTGTGTGTGTGTGTGGGTGTCAGCATGAAAGGGATTGCTGAATATGCTGTTTTTCTCCAACACTGATAATTACTTCAAGCTGAGCATAGCCCACTGTTCGTTTAGTCCTGGATCGGGCAGAGTCTGCTAACTGAGAGTCTTGAGCTCCCCAGTTTCCACTCTCCCTCCTTCTGTTTCAGTAAAGGTTTATTATGGAAGAACCTTGCTCTCTCAGGCTTTCCACAACGTCCTTGGTCCCGTCCCAAAATAAATCAATTTCTGCTTGAGAAAAAAACAGGAATTTGGTGGAGGGGGAGACACCGAGTAGAGATCTGCATTTTTCGGGTTTTGTTTTTTAATTACATTTCTGTGATTTAGAGTTACGAGTTAAGTATAAAGCTCCTGCAAAGCAAGCCTGTCTTTTCTCCTGCCTTGCCTGCAAGGGGCTGTCAGGTCTGCTAGGGCTGGATCTGCTGTCCCAAGCAGTCCTGGCTGAAGCTCCTGGAGGGGCAGAGCTTGCTGCCTGGAGAGTTGGTGGGCAGCTCTCCTGCTGCAAATGCATGCATTTCTCTGCTGCTCTCCTTTGGCCCGGGGAGCTGCAGAATTTTTCTTCTCTTATGTAATGGTCTGCTGGTGTCTTTGCTTGGAAAACCTCTTTTTCAGCTGGAGGGTGTCGGGAGTCCCGTCCTACCTCTCTTTGGTCACTGCGCAGGGAGCTCCTGGCCGGGGGGGAGAGGTGTCAAGGCAGTCGGGCAGCGGGAGGGAGCAGCTCACTCCCCCTTCCTCCCCTTGCCCCAAGCCCTTCCCGGAGTCACTCTCCCCCTCGCAGGAGCACGGGGCAGCTCCGCCTGGGCGACCTCGGGCTGCAAACGGGGGAAAGGGGAAAGGTGGCAATTTGGGCTGGGAGCTTTGCCTGGAGCGGTGCGTGTGCGTGTGTCCCCCGAGGGCCACAACGCCGCTGGGGCGGGGCTGGGTGCGGCGGCGGGGGGGATGCAGCAGCCGTGGGACCGGGGGACGGGGAGCGGAGCCCGG